GCTGATGGGCTTCTAGGAGAAAGTGTCCTGAAAAGGGATCAAGGACCCAGGAAAGGAATCAGACATGCGGGTTTCCCTGAGTGGAAGGGTCAAGCCTGCAGCCATGTGTGCAGGACAGTTGGGGAGCCCCGGGTAAGCTGGGTCCCTGAATGTGGTGCCCCTGCTGTGGCCAGACCCTCGCCCCCTCAGGCCAGAGGATGCTGAAATGTGTCGGCAGCCCATACTCCATCTCCATCTGCCTGGGCAAGAGGCATAAAGGACATCCCAGGACCTCCACCTGGCCGAACCCAGATGTTCTGCTCTCACACAACAGGGACTGCGGTTCATGCATCTGCCATTTAGGGGATGATCCCACCTGGCCTGTCAGGATCTTCCACTCTCCTTTGTGTGACCCTGACCAGGACCGGCGTCAGGTCCTGAGGCTGCAACTGTGCCTCACAGGGCGTGTGGACTTAAATAAACCACGGGAGGTGCTGTTTACTGAGTATTTAGTCCTATGAGCACAGATGTAGGTTTGCCAAATGAAAGCAGACAACGCTGACGGGCTATTCCCTATTTGTCCCTAATGTAAAACCGAGGAAGCTGGGAAAGAAGCACCCTGGACAGCAGCTGGTGAGGAAGAAGTCAGAGGGTATGAGAGGGAGAATCCAGGGGGCAGTTGGGTGGCCTGGAAGTTGCAGCCCAGAATCCTAGGTCAGGGTGGGGTCCCCTCCTGGCCAGGGCTCAGCTGAGGGACAGGATCAGCTTGTGGGAAATGCCATCGTACCTTCCAGTCCTTGTGTGGAGCAGGAGACACCCCAGGGCGGCCGACAGTGCCAGTCCGACCAGGACCCCGACTGCAATGCCAATGATGGACCCCACAGGGAGACCTGTGGTGCTTCTTCCATCTGAAATAAGGAAAAAACGGGAGGGGAATGAGTCCCAAGTCAAATCTGGGGAAGCCAAGAGGGGCCGTGGGGGAAGGGCCTGGTTAGGGAGGAAGGAAAGGCCACTGAGCTCTGGGTGATGTGTGTGTTGTCACCACAGTGTCCCCACCCCCTTGACCGCTGCATCATTTCTGTTCCTCACGGTGAAACCCTGGACTTGCTTCATTCTTCACATTGTCCCCCACCCCGGGGCCAGTGCCAGTGTGCTGTTCATTTACTGCTCACATTATGCCTCTTCTCCTGGGTCTTCCTTTCCATTTCTGTCACTGTTCTTAGAGGGAGGCCCTTACCTGTTGACTCAACACTTTAAAGAGAATAACATTAGCTGACTGCTTTGGAGGTCGGTCCTGTGCCGGGCACGTGGGAAATACTTTACGTTTATCTCATCTGCCGCTTCCCTGTCCATGAGGGGGCCAGGTGTCATCCCCACTGTCCAAAATGAGCATCTCACTATGGAAAGGGCTTCAGTAAATCACTGAAGGTCACCGAGCTGGAACGTAATCAGACAACACGTAATCCCAAATCCCCAAGACATAGCTAGTAACAAAAGCATTAATATCAAAAGGACAATAGCTGCTAATTTGGATTGAGCCTGAATCTGTGATGAAATCCTGAGGTATGATGGTGTCTCAGGATTTCATCTCATGAGCTCATATTAACAACCCTCACAACAGCCCTAAGATCCAGCTGTTCTTTCCAGTTTTACAGATGAGGACACTGAGGCTCAGGAGGTTCAGCATCTTGCCAGAGTTCCAATAGCTGGTACATATCAGAACCAAGGTGCTAACAAGATTAGTCTAATTCCAGGGATTTTATCCACATTGCCCTAGAGGCTCTGAAGGTGGCTCCTACCTCCTCCAGGCCTGCATCCATTTCACACCCCCTGCCAGTAGAATATACAGGGAAGGAGAGGGAGAGGTCACGAGTCACTCACAGCTCAGATCCAGCCTGATGGGGTCACTTTTGCCAGAACTGACTGGGTTGGAGACCTCACACTGAAAATTCCCAGCACTCTCTCCTGACAGGGCATATGGTGAGGGTGCTGTTGTCCTGGGTCAGCTTCATTGTCTCCATGAGCTTTAGACTCTGGCCATTGAGAAACCACTGGATGGAGACCCCAGTGTTATTTGTGGAGCAGGTCAGGACCACAGAGTCCTTATGTTCTGTGACTGCGGTGTTGCTGGCAGGGACAGAGGGCTGGGCCACGGGCTCAGTGGACAAACACAGGAAGTGATGGAATGAGAGTGGGCCTGGGCCCTGGGGCTACGCTCCTTCCTCTACGATCTCAGCCACTCTGAAGGCCCAGGCAAGCTCTGTAAAGGTGCCTCAGAGGATGGCCCTGCTGTCTGCAGAAGGTGGAGTGTCTTTGTGCAGGTGACCATCTGTAAGGAGAAGGCTGTACCTCCCCCTCTGATCCTCAAGTTCCCTTCTGGCCCTCAGTCCTG